TGCATAGCTTTACATATAGCATTTTAATCATCTGACAGTTCTAAAAGCAAAGGATTTAGAAATTCTGATTTATTGTTCTGAAGTACAATCTTAAGTGAAACAGAGGCACAAAAGATTTAACAGTTTGCTGAAGCCAGGTGTGGTAGCATTGTGAGATTGAGGTGGGAGAATCACTTGAACCCATGAATTTGAGACCAGCCTGGGAAAAATGCTGAAAATTATTCATTACTGGTAGGTGAAGAAACTAGGAATTAAACGTAGGCCCAAGCCTTTTACTTTGCTGATTAGTTATTTGGGACATCTTTAGAATATRTAGTACCAGAATTTAATGATTTCCTTTAGAGAAATTTTTTAAATTTTTTTCTATATTTTTACATATTGTATCTTATAGATACATGTTCTTTTTTATGAATATGTTTTCTTAAGGAATATGTTGCCAAATTTTTAGAAAAAAGTGGTGGGAAATAACATTCAGTAGAATATACATTTTACCTTATAATCTTTTCTGGAATATAGCGCTAATATGTTGTTATGTAAAGCTTTCTGAAGATGGTGATTAGAGGAAGGTACAGCAGTTTTTCCCCAATTTATAACGTATTGCACAAGTAAAGAAATGACTTTCATCATTAATTTTTTTTTAAGAGAGAGTGAGGGGGGGGGAGAGAGAGAGAGAGAGAGAGAGAGAGAGAGAGAGAGAATTTTTAATATTTATTTTTTTATTTTCTCGGCGGACACAACATCTTTGTTGGTATGTGGTGCTGAGGATCTAACCCGGGCCGCACGCATGCCAGGCAAGCGTGCTACCGCTTGAGCCACATCCCCAGCCCTCATCATTAATTTTGAATTAATAAAAATTCCAAGTTTTATTTTGGACACGTTCAAGTTTAGTTTTAGTTGAATTCTGAAACTTTAGTTTTAATAACTAGATTTTAAAATATAAATGTGAATTAAGCTTATGGAACTGATTTTTACAGTATAAATAACCATTTGTAACCCTTTTCTCTAAATTCTCCCTTTATCCCCTCTCAACCTTATTTATCAGGTGCTATGTAGTAGGCAAAGTGGGACATAGTCTCAGATTTCCACAGCATCATTTAACTCAGTAAAACCAAGTATGCCTTCCAGTTTTTGAAACCTTATATTTTGCACTAAAAAGATAGCTAGCTGACAAGAACAATTTAAAAATAGCWGACCATGGACAGGTGACAAAATGTCACACTGGCAGCACCAGACTGCATTAACAAAAATCACCAGATGTCACACACTTGATTCTATTTTCACAGCTGATTAAACAGCAGTATTTGTTGGACAAAAGGAAGAAAAAAGAAATGGCCTCATCTGAATTTGGAACTAGTTTTCCTTTTGCTGTTATATATTTTCTTTCTTGTCTGAAACCCCTTAACAACCATAAAAATGAGTACATACAACATATTAAGAAAGAATATATAGAAAAATTCTAGTCTTAGAAAAGAAACCATCCCATATGCACACTCCCTAAATTGGAAGAGTATAAATCAAAATGATAACTGTGCTTGTCTTTAATGATATAAAATCTTCATTTTCCTGTACTATCTAAAGTATCTCCAGTGAAACTGTTGCATTTTGTAATCTAAACATTAATTTTTGAAGAGGTAACTAGCTTGCAGAAGCCATTAGTGAATTTATTKATTGATTGATTGATTGATTGATTGATTGAAGTTCTGAGGATTGAACCCAGGGCCTTACACTCGCTAGGCAAGTAATCTGCCACAGAGCTACAGCTCTGACCCATAAGTGATTTTACCAAAACAATACAAAACAAAACATAACAAAACAAAAATTACATTTAATTGGAGGGGAAAATTAAATTATATTTAAATAATTGGTTATATCGTTCTGGCATTGACCCCAAGTTTTTTTTAAATAAAAGCATGTGTTGTTAGCTTTCATCCACAGATCCATTGAAGTCAAACAGAATTAGGGAGAATACCAGGAAAAGTAAAAAGTGCTTTGCTTTTCAGCAATTAGTGATGCCTTCCATCTGCAAAACAGTGCCTAAGGCTCTTGGTTTTCTTCCTTAAGAAAGATTGAATTGGAAGTAATCAGTACAGGATAGAGAATGATAATTAGAAAATAACCCAGCTTCCTTCCAGTTCAGTTTTCTAAGCTGAAAAGTTCTAACCTCTTATGAAAAGAGTCAAAAAGGATCCAAGTTTTGAGTGATGAAAGCAGCACCCCTTTAAGTTTGAGAATATTTGTCCATCCAGAAATATACAAAAATTGTTATTTGGTGTAGTGGCTATAAACTAGATAATTCTTTCCTACAAACATAGACATACGGAATAAAAGAAGTTGAATGAGGATCGGTTGAATTTGGGCTTACTTTATTTCCTTGATAACCCTTTATTATTCTAGTAATATTAGGGAACCTAGCTTTGTAGGAACTACACCCTTCCTGAGTCACATCTAATATTCATGTATATTAGTATTTGGTAGTCAGGATTATCTGGAAATAATGGAGGAGAGAACACTGGTATAGCTAATTGAAGCCAGAATGTAAATTGTTCTTACTGAGTCAAAACCCTGTTCTGGTGACAGATTCTTCTATAATAGTTTCTGATGAAGGTTATGGTAGGAGATAGCACTCATTACATATAGTATGAACCATAATGTTCAGGGACTTTAAAATGACTTAAAAATCAGAAAACATAACAAGGCATATGGAACATTTGCATATGTAGATACAGTAGGTGTGTCTTCCAACAATGGGGTACTTTTTGAAATTTCTAATAATTAGCTTCTAATAAATACGAAAAGGTCTGAAATCTATAAAAATAGGCATGGATTTTCTGTCAAAACCATTATAATGGATTCTGAATAGGAATTTTAGTATATTATAAATGCTAGCAAGATAGTCTCTACAAAACTAGGACAATTGCAATATTCTTTGTCCTAATAAGATTTAAAATAATAAAAACAAAATCATTTTTATTGAAATCCCTGTAAAATGCTTACTGGCAAATTAGAAAAATTTTATTAGAATTCATAAATTGTTGATGATTTTTCTGTTCTTACACACACACACACACACACACACACATATCAATGCAAGTGATACACCTACACTTCTGAGGGATTTGATTTTTATACACTTTTTGTTGTTTTGAGGGAGCTGAGAATTAAACCCAGGGCTTTGCACACACTAGGCAAGTATTCTTCCAACGAGCTACACCCCCAGCCCTTCACTAATTCTTAGTATGAAATGACCTTTCACAAATTATCATAGAATATTTAAGAAATTAGGATGTTTTGTTTAGGTAAAAAAACATAATTTTTTTCCTAGGAATTTATAATTCCTCCTTTTTATTCGAGGCAACTGCTCTGTTTCTTCTTCTGTGATGCTTTTCTTTTGTGCCAGAATAGCTTGATGATGCTGTTTTTCCTCTAATCTTCAATAACAGAGTTTAATACCAAGTAATAATTGTCTCTTTTGCAATTATGTATAAAATCATATTCATTGTAAAAATCGATCGATTTTACTTTATCTCCAGCTTTCTCTGTTAATAACTGTTTTCTCCCCACATATATGCTTGACATTTTTAAATTTAAATAGTGGTTGTGAAATAGAATTAACATTTTCTGAGAATTTCATAATCCTTGACATAACTGGACATTAAAACCTCAAAGAGCTAGATATAGTGGTACATGCCTATAATCACAGCAATTTGAGAGGCTGAGGCAGGAGATTGCAAGTTCGAGGCCAACCTCAGCAATTTACTGAGGCCCTAAGCAACTTTGGGAAACTCTGTGTCAAAAAATTTTAAAAAGGGCTGGGATGTAACCCAGTAGTAAAGCACCCCTGGGTTAAATTCCCAGTACCAAAAAACAAAAACAACAAAAAAAAGCTCAGTGGTAGAGTGATTCTCTGAATTCAGTCCTCAGAACAGCAACAAAACAAAACCTTGTAGAACCAAGATTATACATATTAGCTTTAAAAACTGTTGTGTTAATAACTGTTTTGTTGAAATAATTGGTCAAAAAATTTTACCAAGTACATTTTCCCCCATACAAGATACTGTTTAATTTTTCTATTGATATATCCACTTCTTGGTCTCAAATAACAAATGAAAAAAAAATCAAATATCTACATCTTTCACTTTTATCCCTGAGGGTCATTAGTTGAAACTTCTGATTCCAGCTCATCATCTAGTAGACCAGAGGTTTCGAAACTCTGTGAAGGGCTAAAAAGTAAATATTTTAGGCTTTATAGGCCACATGGCCTCTGTCGCATATTATTATTTGTTTTTGTTTGATTTTGCAACCCTTTAAAAATGTCAAAATAGTTTTTAGCTCAGAGACATACAAAAACAGGCAGCTGACCAATATGGCCAAAAATTTTCAACTCCTATAATAATTGTAAGAATAAAGGTCTGGAAATTAATATTATGCCCAAGGTTATAAAACTAGTTAATGATGGGGAAAGCATAAAAACTCTATATATTTTTAAACCAGTAATTTTTTCCCCACTCTGTTACATAAATTTCACTATCTTTCTTCTGGTTGCCATTCTAATAATTATGTTGCAATTTTGAGTCATTATGAAACCTGTTTCTTTTTATTGTCTCTAAGCTTCAAGTTTATTTACTTTTTTTTTTTTTTGGCTGCTTGAATTTGAAAGGCACTATGAATGATTGTTTAAATTAAATTCTTAATATAGGGAATTGGCATGTTCAAATTGGAATGTGGAAGATGTGAAAATTTCAGACTATTATAACAGAAGCTTCTTTTTTGTTTTGTTGTATTTTATTTATATTGAGACTTTGCCTTTGTTTTAAGACTTTTCATGTGTATGTTTTATGACTTGATTTACAAAGTTGTAATTGCTTTGGCCTTTGGTAGCATTTTTGTTATAGATTGATCTGTTTTAACTTTTTGTAATGTTAATATTTTATAATGTGTCTGAAATTATTATATTGAGTTTTCTTTTCTTTGGCTTAAAATAAAATTACTTTATTTTTTAGGTCGCATGGGAATAAATTTCCACCATCCGGGAACAGATAATATTATGGCACTTAACAGTAAGTCCTCATATGAAATATTCTGTAAAAGCAACAATCATGTTTGCAACATATGATTTCCACCTTTCTTATTAACTGTTCATTATATTTCAACATTTCATTGAATGTAGTGTCGGCCATTATTCTATACCAGTAGTTCTCAAAAGTGTGGTCCTTGGGATTAACACATCAGCCTCCCTTAGGAAATTATTAAAAATGCAAAGTTTCCAGCTCTTCTACATACCTACTTTATCAGTTTAAGGATGGGACCCAGAAATCTGTGTATTAAGAAGTTCTGTACATGATTCTGTGTGGGCTAAAGTTTTAAAATTATGACTCCGTGGCAGAGTTGGCAAACTATAGCCTAGTAAGTCAAATCTGGCTTAATGCCTGGTTTTTTATTTATTTTTATTTTTTAAATTTGTTCTAATTAGTTATACATGACAGCAGAATACATTTTGTTTCCCTTTTTAACATATATATTTTTTAGTTGTAGTTGGACACAATACCTTTATTTTACCTATTTATTTTTATGTAGTACTGAGGATCAAACCCAGTGCCTTGCATGTGCTAGGCGAGTGCTCTACCACTGAGCCAGGATCCCAGCCCTGCATTTTGTTTCTTAGTGCCTGTTTTTGTAAATAACATTTTATTGGATCATAGTCACACCCATTCATTTATAGATTGTCTGAAGCTCCTTTCGTGCTACAAAGCAGAGCTTACAAAGCCTACCCTATTTACTGTCTGACCCTTTTCAGAAAATATTTGCCAACTCTCAATGCCCCACTTTAATGATTAAGGGGGAGGAGTAGGGAAGAGAATGTGAATGGATAAATCAATTAATTCATACATAACTCAGAATCTTCTCATTATGGGCAAATAGCTGACATGTATTTTAAGCTGAACATCCAGGGGTCTCCCACATTAGTGAAATTTGCATGTTATAGGTGTCAGTAGCTTTGTAGGTTAAAATTGGTTTTGACTAGTGTAATTGTTGGGTTAAGTACTAGAGCAACAAAAATTATATAGCAGAAAGTCATGATATATTATGTATATAATATGTATATTATATCAGTTATTATGTATTATATCAGTTAACACTGGAAAAAATATCTAGCTAGCATCAAGTCTCTTTCTGGTATTGTAGACCAAATAGCTTTACAGAAGAATAGTCTCTGAATAGAAATTGACAGTCACAAGGACCATTGAATATCTCAGAATTGAAATTTTCTCTTCTATCAAGTGAGTGAGATCAGATTGTCCTCTCTCATCCTCCCAGATAGTCAAACTGACTTATATACATATGGGAGAAACACTTGGTAAATCTAAGGCTGTGTTATTCCTTTTCATTTTCCTTTTTTTTTTTTTTTTTTTTGGTACTAGAGATTGAACTCAGGGGCACTTGACCACTGAGCCACATCCCCAGTCCTATTTTGTATTTTATTTAGAGACAGGGTCTCACTGAGTTGCTTAGTGCCTCACTTTTGCTGAGGCTGGCTTTGAACTCATGATCCTCTTGGTTCAGCCTCCCGAGCTGCAGTGATTAAAAGCATCTGCCACTGCACCCAGCTCCTTTTCCTCTTGATTAAAGATATTGAAATACCAATGAAGTTCCTTAAGACAGATATTTTCAAAATATGTATTCCACATTTCCTTTGTTCTGAGATGCATTGTGCTTACCAGTGAGCACTGCTGAGAACCACTGGCAGGGCTTTGTGTTGCAGGTTAATCATTTTAAAAATATAAATATATAGCTGGTATCCCCTCCTTTGGAGGGTCTTAGAAATAATAAAAATTCTGAAGTATTTAATTCTCATTTTTAATTTTTTTTCTTTGGTTTTGATGCTGGAGATTGAATCCAGGGCCTCAAACATGCTAGGAAAGTGCTATTTCCCCATCCCTTTTTATATTTCATTTTAAGACAGGATCTTGCAAAGTTGCCCAGGCTGGCCTCAAATATGGGATCTTCCTGCCTTAGGATCCCAAGTAGCTTGGATTCAAGGCGTCCACTGTCATTCAGTTCATTATCTAATTTCTAAAAGTAGGGTCACTTTACATTTAGATTATGCTACCTCTACTTTTTTTTCTAAAAGGATGGAATTAATAAGCATACTTATCTTGCTGAGTTTTAGCAATAATTAGTTGTGAAAATGCTTCAGTTAGATGATTGGACTTAGAGTTGAAATTAAAAGAACAGTATGGTAGTGTGTCTGCCTGAAGCAATTAGTATGATATGAGAAAAGATCTAATTTGACATGATATAAGCCATCTTTTGCAAGAAGGAGAGAGTGTAATTTGTGACATTTTTGGGTAAAAAAGAAGCTAAAAGACATTTTTCTTCTTAAAAGGTTTTGATTATCTTTGATTTGATTTTCTTTAACTCTCTGCTTTTAAATAAGATATTTCATTTAAGTCCTTTCCACTTTGTACATGTTGCTCAAATCACCCTTTTAGCCTCAATTCTCTCATCTTTGAGAGAAGAGGATTGATTAGGTAATTTTAATGCCTGCTTTCTGCATGTATCTTCTGTGGTGGTCTGATACATTTCAGAGTACTAAAAGGGCCATTTTGCTGTTATCTTTATCAAATGTTGATGAGCTCCACATGGTTGCAGTAGGACTGCACATAGGAAAGGGCATCAATATTCACATAGTTCTGTGGAAAGACATCAATATTCACATGGAGCCCTGTTGGCTGCTCAAAATACACCATAAAAACAACCAGAGTTTGGGCTGGGGATGTTGCTCAATGGTAGAGCACTTGCCTAGCATGCGTGAGAATCTGGGTTCTATCCCCAGCACAAAAGAAACAAAACCAAATAAACAGCAGGCACAGTGGGTGGCACATGCCTGCAATCTCAGGAGGATCAGAAGTTCAAGGCCAGCCTCAGCAATTTAGCCAGGCCCTAAGCAACTTAGTAAGACCCTGTCTCAAAAAATAAAAGGGCAGGGAATGTAGCTCAGATATTCAGTCCCCAGTACTGGAAAACAAAAACAAAAATAAAACAACCAGAATTTGACATTTGCACTGCTTAGTGTGAATTTTCTTTTGAAGTTTGGCTCTAACTTGAGGTGATCATAATCCTCTTTGGGAGGTACTTCTGGGACTTTCAGGCTTTGACATATTTGCTGTGATAAAACTTTTCTCCCCTTTTGTAGAGTTAAGCCCAGATCATCCAGCAATGTATGTAGCACACATGCACACATACATACTTGTGTAGTTTTTGTCTCCTTTTTCTGTCTTCTATCCTGTGGCTGGCCTGTTTTCCTTCCTTTCCCTCAAGTTTCATATAGAAATAATTGAGATGAAGTCACAGATATTAAAACTTTATCCAGAATTTGTGATTATTGGAAGGGACTCCATTGAAGTTGAGCCATACTTTCAGGAAAGCAGTGGCTGGTTAAGAAAATTGAGGATCCTTTTTTTTCCATAGAGAAAATAGGCTGTTATAAACAAGTAAACATTAGAAAGTTACTTGATGTGTACAAAATTAAAAACAGAGGAGTAGTGTAGTTTAAGTGATAGTATCATTGGCTCAAAGAAGGTATCTTCTAAGCCAGCTGGAAAGCATGTGAGACCTGAAGAGAAAACAGTGAATTAGTGTAGCCTTGAAACACATGTCTGCAGTCAGGCAAATCTGACTCTACCTCCTATAGCTATAGGACCTTAGGGCCACATTCTTAACTCCTCTTTGCCTTTGGTTTCTTCACTTGTAAAATGGAGAGCATGATCACTTTGCAATATATCTATATCTTTTGTGTGTATGTGTGTGATACGGGGATTGAACCCAGGAGTGCTTTATCACTGAGCTACATCCCCAGCCCCTTATTACGTTTTATTTTGAGACAGGGTCTCACTAAGTGCTGAGGCTGGCTTTGAACTCGGGATACGTGTGCCTCAGCTCTTGGTAACCAGGCCTGGCAGCTACATAAAATGTTTTTTTTTTTTTTTTTTTCTTGGTACCAGATATTGAACCCAGGGGAGATTTATTTATTTATTTACTTACTTACTTACTTACTTCAGGTGGACACGATATCTTTATTTTATTTTTATGTGGTGCTAAGGATCGAACCCAGTGCCTCACGCATGCTAGGCGAGCATGCTCCCACTTGAGCCACATACCCAGCCCCTTTATTTTTTATTTTGAGACAGGGTCTCACTAAGTTGCTTAGGGCCTCACTAACTTGCTGGGCCCAGCTTTGAATTTGTGATGCTCCTGCCTCCTGAGCTGCTGGGATTACAGAAGTGTGCCACTTCATGTGGCTATATATAAATCTTATAAAGCTCAGCATAGTGCCTGATTTGTAGATAATGCTCAAGTTAGCTACTGTTGTAGTTGTTTACATCAGTTTTATTGCTGCCTTTTTAAGATCTTTTTTCTTTGCATATTAGATTTCTAAAACATGAATGTATCATACACCATTTATATTTAGATAGATGTTTTCTTGATGAAATTTAAGGGCGCACACCTGTTAATCATCTTGTAAGGCTAGAGTGACTGTACTGGGATACATTCCCATCTGTTTGGGGTGAATCTTTTTTTTTTTACTGGATGAAATACTTTCTGTCACCTGACTTTGGAATATGTGTCTTCTTTGGGTCCTATAGYCCCTTCACAGCTGTTACATCTCTTGTGATATTCGCACTATTTATGATAGCTCCAAAAGGTAAATAATTTAAATGTCCCTCAACTAGAGAATGTATAAAGAACTTGTGGTACATTCATACAATGACATCGTATTCAGCAATAAAAAGGAAATGGACTGTTATGACATACAATTAATTATATTAATAGCTCTTAAAATAATTATGCTGAAGTAAAAAATAAAAAACTAGACCAAAAAAAGTCCATATTAGATGATCCCACTAACATAAAATTTTAGAAAATGTAAACTAAACTACAGTGACAAGACAATAAAGCAGCTTCAAGAAGGGAGTTTTTGAAGTCATAGTGTCCTCTTTTTTTCTTATTATAAGTTGCATCTAGTTGAGTGAGTCTCTGAATCTCCCTAAGCCTTAGT